AAAATGCATCATTTTCAGTTTTTTATAGAGGAACTAATCAAATTTTAGAGATTTCGTGAATTAAGATAAAGCAAAAAACTACAAAATTCCTTTAGTTAAATATGCGTTATTTTCTATAATTTTGAGAAAGTTTTTCAATAAGAAACTTACATGATTTGAAAAATTTTACCAAAACAAGGTATAAAAAAACACAAGATTAGTCTTAGAAATGCGTTAATTTTGCTTTTTTTTGGTATATGTAAAACATTCTTTTCATAAAAACTCACTGAATATAAAAAAATCGTCAAGACAAAGACAACAATTGCAAAATTTGATAAAAAAATGAGATTTTCTATGAATTTAAAATTGAATGTCATTTAAAAAGGCGTTATTTTTGCTTATTGTTTCTATAAATTTGCTCAGGAATTTGAAAAATTTTGACAAAATAAAGTGGTCAATTGCAAAATCAGGCTTTGTTTTTTATAAAATTAAATTGTTTTTACGAAAAAACTAATTGAGTCTGAATTTTTTTACAAATACCTACAATTTGAATGTCACGTTTAGAATATATTTTCTCAAACGAGGCAAAAAATTAAGGTAAAATTATGTCAAAAAGGATAATAAAAATTGAACAAAATACAAGCTGTGTCAGAACTAGTGCCCCAGAGAAAAAATTTATGTAAAATAACATACCAGGAACACGGAAAAATTTTGACATTTAATTTTTGACATTTGACATTTTTTTATGTCAATTTAATGAACTCGTGATTTGTATCTGTATTTTTTATAATTATTTAGTAAAGGTGCAAAAATTCTGCCAATAAAAGCCACAAATAACATTAAACACAGTTATAATTTAGGTTTATAGCTTCCTTGTTTCCTTTTCTAATAGCCTGTAGCAAAAAAACTTGTAAAATCATTTTTCCAACAGAAATAAGTAGAGTCAAAATGCAAATTTTTTTACAAAAAGATTTTTTTTAATACTTGTTTCATGTTCCTGGAATCTTACCTTACATGGCATTTTTCTCTGTGGAGTCATTTCTGGCGCACCCTATATAAAGTATCTTATCAATAAAAACATAATTTATTATTTATTAGCATGTTACATATTTAAACCAATCAAAGTAAAGTTACAAACTAATTAATTACGCAATCACGCTAATAGTAAACTTCATGCGTATAAATCCCTGGTACTACTTTAGCAATTTTTTGTGGTACTAGTCCTTGACTTGGCCCTTGGGGAAGATTCGTGGCTGCGACTCGAAAACCATTAACCGGATCGGAAATGTAATGCACTGTTTGTAGTACCCCATTAGCATCAATATAAGAGTACCCTCCTCTGGTAACCCCATCGGCCGTTTTGGTCTCACTTTTGGAGCTCAAAGGGCCCACATACCCATACGAGTACTGCCCAAACCCATCCTGGGAGTGGTACTGTCCCGAAATCGCCGGGTACGAAATGGGAGTACCAACAGCGGCTACTGTTTGCACCGGTACCACATTTCCGGTCACTTCAACCGGACTTAAATGAATGGCAGCATCTCGGGCTCGAACCTCCGCTACTGCAGCTAAATGTTCGGCTCGTGCTTTGACCACTTCTGGTAGGTCTTGGACTGGTTCAGGAGCGGTGGTACCAGCGTAAGCGGCTTGCAAGGTCGCCAAGTGTCTGGCGCGGGCTTGAACCACTTCCGGTAAGTCTTGTGGTACCACCGCTGGGTTCGCATTATGGGCAGCAATGGCGTTAAAATCGGCCAAATGTTTGGCTTTGGCATAGGCCACTTCCGGTACGTCCTGAGGGAGGTTGGTAGCAGCGACTCGGAACCCATGGATGGGATCAGCTGTGTATTGGACCGTTTGGAGGATCCCGTTGGAGTCGATGTAGGAGTACCCACCATGGGTCACCCCATCAGCGGTTTTGGTCTCGGCTTTGGTACTAGTCGGGGTGGCGTAACCATAAGCGTACTGCCCGATAATGTCTTGACTGTGGTAAAGTGAGCTAATTGGGTGGGAGTATGGTGTTAGACCAACTGTCACACCAAGTGGTACCACGTGGGATGTGTGAGTACCATAGGTTAGTGTCGCTACTATCAATACCACCTACGATATAATAATAATAATAACTTTATTAACGGTAATATCCTTTACATTAAGTAATGATAAAATTATAATAGAAAACAAATCACATATAAACATAATTAAAAAATACTAAATGACTAACTCAACGAAACTTTTAGAAAACGCTTAAAACTATTAATGGATTTAAAATTAAAAAAGTCCAACTTGACACTGTACATGTCACAAATTCTTAAAAGATCATTTAGAGGAGAATTAAACAGATAATTATTGTGTGCAAACGAAATTTTGAATAATTGGTTTGATCTACTATTATACTGTGGGACGTGAAAATTAATTAAATTTAGTATTGAAGTATCATTAATCAAATTATTTAAAAGTTTATAAACAAAACATAAAGCCTCATATCTTCTTCTAATTTCAAGTGTAGAAAGAGACAAATAATTTAATGAATAATTGTAATCATCTTGCACATATAAGGCATCAACCATTTTATATATTTAAAAAACTTAAACTGTATTGCTTCAAGCCTACCAACATGAATTTTGTAATTCCAGATTATCGAACCATATTCGAGGATTGAACAAATAGCATTTTGATGGAATTAAAATTTTTAAAATCACGACAATAACGTTTTATGCAGCCAAGTGCCTTATTAGCTCTACAAATGATAAATTCAAYYTGTTGAATAAAAGTTAATTTACTATCAAGTAATATACCTAAATCTCTCACAGACTGTTTTACTGTAATTTTTGTACTATTAATAAAATAATAGGGTTGGAGAGATTTTCCTGCTGAAAACAATAGACTGACACTTTTCAACATTTAAAAACATTTTGTTATTTGCACACCAGTCTTGTAACTTATATAAATCAGATTGTAATACAGAAATGTCACGAGATTCCGAAACTTTTCTAAATATCTTAAGATCATCAGCAAATATACGATAATCACTATCAAAATTATATCCTATATCATTTATAAAAATAATGAAAAGAAGTGGACCCAAAACAGATCCCTGTGGTACACCTGAAGGCACACTTTGTAAACCTGACATGTGACCTTCAATTTTTACTTGCTGGAATCGATCAGTTAGATAACTGTGAAACCACTCTAAAAGTGAGCCAGCAAATCCATAAACAGACAGTTTTTGTAATAAAATGGAATGATTGACCTTACTAAAGTCTGTATAAACTGAGTACACCTCCATACCATGACCAAAAGAGTCCACAACTTCATTTACATACGAAAAAAGATTAGAAATAGTTGAGCGTTTTTGAAAGAATCCGCGCTGTTCTGGAACTATAAGGCTACTTAGTTGATAAGATAATTTGGAAAGTATAATGATTTCAAATAATTTAGCGAAATAGTGGTGTCAGTTTTCTTTATTTGGTACTTACCAGAGATTTCATTGCGCTTCTGTAAGAACTCGCAACAACTATTAGAAAATTCGTCCTTAAGTGTTTATATATGCCGCCCCGCCTCTTTATTAAAGCATATGTTTGTAAGGTGAAATGAAACCGCGAGATGGGTTATTTAAAGTTCAAGTACTGCTCTTCAAGGTCTAGGTTTTTTGGTCCAGTACTTAAAAAAGTACGAAAGTTTTTGACTTGGGAGTGGTCAAAGACGCATTCTGATGAGAAACGAGTTCGATCAAGGATATCATCGCCTCTAATTTATTAATCATCATTACGGATTTGTTTATCGGTACTGTTATTCTAGAAGCTCGTAAAAACTTAATTAAATTCAGTGGTACCACCCTAGTTATGCTAATAACCGCTATCAATTTGCGACTTGTGTGGTACTGCGACTTGATGTGTTAATTAATCCTGAGATAATTGGTACTTGGATTAGAAATGCCATTGTCACGGCCAAGTAAACAATTGTATTTTCACGATAATTCAAGACGTTTTAAAACACGTGATCGTGATATAATTGCGGTCTTATCAAAACCCAAACTAAATTTCTTAATGGTTTATTAAAATTTTATATACAACAAAACTAGTAGTGTCGGGCGGCAGCATGGGCTGCGAAATGAGCAGCTTTAGCCAATTGAACTTCAGGAGTCTCCACAGGTTGTCCATCATGTCCAATCACGGCATGAGGGTAAAAACCCCCGTAGTAAAACGGTGCTACACCCACAACCCCAGTCCGGTGCAAAGCTTCAGCATGAGCTTGGAAATGTTGAGCTTTTGCAGCCTGGACTTCGGGGGTGTCTAAAGGAACTCCTCTGACGGCAGCATGGGCCGCCAAATGGGCAGCAGTCGCAGCTTGGACTTCAGGAGTGTTAACTGGGACTCCATAATGGTACAAAGCGCGTCTTTTGCGGAGGTGAAGTCCAGATCGGGCGGCGGCATGGGCTGCGAAATGGGCAGCTTTGGCCAATTGGACTTCAGGGGTGTCAACAATGACGCCGTTACGTTGGGCGGCGACGGCGTAATCGGCAAAGTGTTGGGCGCGGGCGGCGGCTACTTCAGGGGTGTCAATGGGGCCGGAGGCGGCGTAAATTGGGTAATGACCAGTACGGGCCTGGGCTTCAGCGTGGGCGGCGTAATGGGCGGCGCGAGCCAGTTGGTTGGCGGCGGGTTCGACAGGGACGCCGTTGTGGTCAAGCACGGGGATGTGCTGGGGGTAGATGAGGGGGTGGTACTGGGCGGTGGCGGCGGCCAACACGCAGCTTACTAAGATCTGGCCCAAACTAAACTTAGTGTGTGAAAAAAATGTGTGTGAAACTCACCAAAACCTTCATTGTTGATTTTATTCCAACCTCCTAAGCACTGTAGGACTGTTGAACAACTGTACAAAAGCCAACAGCCCCGCCAGTATTATATAGTTTCCCCCATAGCTCGTCACTGCCCCAGCTGAAGATGCAAGGTCCTCTGCTTTCACCAGAAGATCTCCCTAAAGCTCAAATAGGCGAGAAACATCGAACCTAACCGATTAAATTTCAATTAAGTTAAGCCACGTGTCTTGGAGGTTTTCTAAATTCCTTAGATTTTTTGTGGGCGAAAAAATTTTGCAAATTCGTTATATAACACACACCACACGTTGTTGTTTCAATACGACACGGTCTATTTGGTCGTATTGTCGAAAGACAAAGAGAAAAATTCAGTGCGTACTCTGTCGTAATTTGCTGGGGGAGAGATGGAAACGTATAATTTTTTAATTGCGAATGAAAAACACGCCAAGAATGTTCGCTTCGATTGCTATTTCCATTTGTGTTAGTCAATTTGTCAATTCTAAGTTCAAGTTTTATTCTTGTATTATGTTAATCGGCGGTTATTTTATTTAATATGCATAAGGGTGAAGCGTATCCTGGTGCGAAGAATGTTTCCCTTGCAGACTATTTACGACTCTGTTTAAGCACACGCCCAAAAATATTAATTTGTATCACTTATCATAACGTAATAAATAAGACGATTAAGTGCAAATGCAAGGTGAACTAATGAAGAGACCACACCTGTCCCAAAACTCAACTGTTTTACATTTCCTTAAGGTTAAGTAGGATCTTTGTATGCGATAAAAGTAATTAAAAATCGATCAATTGCTATTTATTTATTAAACTTTAATTAGTCGGACTGCAATTTGTAAGTGAGAAATCGAACGTCCTTGTTCGTGAATTTTTTTGGTTGACTGAACTCGATGAAAAAATTCGGAATCTTGAAAAATCCTTTATGACTTTGCATATTGTTGTCAATCAATTTGTTTCAGTCGGTTATTTACGACCCAAAATTAATCATTTATTGATGATCGGGTGTACTAAAACAGATTTATAGCCAGATTTTAATTAAGATATCAGGTGTTTGATTATTGAAAAAAGTGATGATTTATGTTTCAAAATCAAATCATTTCCTTGTAAATATGACAGATTTTTATTAAAAATATGATAACCGCCTTGACAAGAATGTTAAACTGGATTATCTAAATTTTTCACCTTGATTCAACCAAAATAAAATTTTTCTCAATACGGTAGCAGCGTTATCTTATCACTTCATTAAAACATTTCCGTCTTAAAAAAAACTTTATTTAATTATGAACCTCTTTTATTTTTTCAAAAATCTTACAAAAATCGAAATTACTCACGTATTTAGATCGCGTAATAATCGAAAGTGTCGGTTGTGGTTGATCAAGGATGCGTTAAAATGACACGAAAATCTTAAGGTCGTCGATAATTTTTGAATTTTTCTCGTGAAGAGTGATCGAATTAATTACATCGGTAAACAATGGCATACCTCGCGGACACGCCCGGCCTGTAGGAGATGCCAAGGTTGGGATATATGAAAGGAATTTCAAAAATATTTCGACTGAAACATTTATTTTTACGCTTCAGATATAATAATAACTGGTAGTGTCATAACACCTCATCGATCACACGGCTTGATTGCCGTGAAATGGAGCGATGTTATAAATTACTAATACGAGAAGTTTACAAGCAAATAAATACATTGAGCGGTGTGTTTTTTTCTAATATATAATTTGTTTCATCGAATATTTATGCAAAATCGGCCCACGACACAAATTAAATAAATATTCCCTGTCTTTAACACTTTTGATAAAATGAGCAACTTTATCAAGTTAGATAAAATTTATGACTGTCACGTTGTAAAATAATAAATTTACGACGTGATTATGTTCAAATAAAAATTATGTTTTGTAGGTATAATAAATCAAGGAAATTGTGCTTTAGCTAGACAAAGATAGATTCATACAAAACTTTATTAGATGAACAAAGAGCGAGAATAGCAGACCATTTTATAAAAAAAATGTGTCATAATGCAGAATTGTCAAATATAAATATCATATTTTATGGGTATAATAAATCAAAATTGTGCTTTGGCTAGACAAAGATAGATTTATAAAAAACTTCATTAGATGAACAAAGAGCGACAATAACAGACCACTTTATAAAAAATTGTGTCAATATAAAAATCATATTTTGTGGGTATAATAAATCGAAATTGTACTTCAACTAGACAAAAATAAATTTATACAAAATATTTTTGGATGAACAAAGAGCAAAAATAACAGATCATTTCAGGGTATAATGTTAAACATTGGAAAAAATTGTATATGTCACACGGGAAAAAAATAGTAAACCAATTTGGAATTTAATTGTAATTGCTTAGAATTATTTCGACATATTTATTAAGTTTTTGGAAGTATTAAAATTATAATTATTATTTATAAGTTAATAGAATTTTTTTTTGAATTACTGATTTTTTTTAGAATTATGGAGATAATTTCTTTT